TTCCAGGACAGCCAGGGACCTTGTCCCAACTCCTTGAATGCATAGATGGATAATTTACATCTAGAATCTCGATTCTACGATTCTATTCCATCGCTCACTGGCTCTCTCTCTCTCTATGTGTCTTTAAGATTTTTTGATTATTAATTCTGAGCGTGTGGGAGGGTATGGGTTCAAACACGAGTGTCAGTGTCCTAGGAGGTCAGAAGAGGTCGTTGGATCCACTGGGGCTGGAGTCCCGGGTGACCGTGAGCTGCCCAATGTGGTTGCTGAGAGCCAAACTCAAGTTCTGTGCTAAAGCAGTACTTGCTCTTAAGGACGGAGCCGTCTCTCCATCTCTGCATCATGATGCCAGCGCCATCTCATTGGACGGCTGGACTTTTTAATGAGAATATTGATTCTTCTGTTTCAATATGTTCTGGCTATTGGGGCTCTTGTAATTCTACAGGCACTGGGGCTGGGTTCCTCCTTCACCGAAGGTCTTTGCAGTGGTGAGGGGGATTGCACCGGCTCTTCCAGTTGCTTTGGTTAGCAGCAGAGCTTTTTCAGTATTAGTTCTGATAATCCGTTGGTGCAGATGCCTCGTTTGTGTGTTTGGTCTTCTTATGCACTCCAGTAACATTTCGAAGTTGTCAGCCCGTGTGTCCTTTGCTCCAAAGACATTTCATTATTTTGTATGATATTATTATAAGTAAGGGTACTGCTTTAGTTTCTTTTTAAAATTGACCCTTGCTGGCATGTCGACGCAGACTGACCTTTGCGTGTTGCTCTTAGGCAGCCCACTGAGCTGATTGTCCGGCTTGTTATAAAGAAGTTGCCTTTCGTAGCCAGCATCTTGTAAGAATCATTTGTGCTGCAAATCGTTTGTTCCTGATGTATGCTAGTCTACACCTGAAGAGCCATTATTCATCTCTAGTCTTTCACAGGGCAGCCTTGTTTTGTGCACCACAGAGGGGTAGGTCTCAGCCAAGACTGTCCCTGAGAATTACCTCTCTGGGGAACCTTTTACCACTAACAGGAACAAGCCTACCTCCATCAGTACTGGCACTGACTTCAAGTATGGCTTAGGGGCCAGGAGGTTTGGGGGTGGGTTGTTTATTTGAGACAGGTCTCACTATGTTGTCAAGGCTGGCTTCGACTCCTGGCCTCGTCCCTCTGCCCCAGCCTCCTGTTTCCAGGATTACAGGCAGCTGCCGCAGCATCTGGCTTTATTTGTTTGTTTTCAGATGGGGGTCTCACTTTGTAGCTCAGGCTGGCCTTGAACCCACAATCTACCTGCTTCTACCTCCTGAATGCCGACCGTACAGGCATGCACCACCATCTTGGGCTTTGTTAGGCCTAATTTTAAGATTCTAAATAACACTAATATGTAGAGGGTCATTATTCTAGACTTAGGACTAGAGTACCTTAAGAATGTATATTTCTGGTTTCTTTTGATGAAAATAATTTTCTAGTGTGTCTGTATCTCACTAGCAGGGCAAAGCTGCTAAACCCTAACCCCTCAGCTGGGTTTGGAAATGGCACATTCCTAACAGTGTCTGGAATTCTCAGACTCCAGTTAATCTATCAAGCTCCAGTTAATCTCTCCCAGGACTTAAAATTTTTATTTTTCTTCTCTGTAATTAATTTTGCCAAGCAGTGGCAGCACACACCTTTAACCCCAGCACTCAGGAGGCAGAAGCAGGTAGATCTCTGAGTTCAGGGCCAGCCTGGTCTATAGAGTTAATTCAAGGACAGCCAAGGCTACACAGAGAAACCTTGTCTCGACACCCCCCCCCATAATTAATTTTGATTTTTTTCAACATGGCCCACACCACTGAGGACTGAATCCAGGGCCTCATGCATGCTGAGCACAACTTTACGTAAGAGCTACAACCTCAGCAAACTTTTCACATTACTAACCATTCTTGTTCCCTTGTCTGTCCAGTCTTTTGGGTGTCTTGTTCTCTTATCCATGCATTATATATTCTGGGGATGAGTCATTTGGTTACAAATGTCTTCTTCCAGTTTGGGCCTTAGATTTCTATCATTTTATTTATTTGCATGCGTGCTCGTGGAGGGGTTTTCTTGTTCATGTATGTAGGTACACAAGAGTGTTGGGGAACACATATGTACATCTATATGTGTAGAGGCCATAGGTAGACATCTATTGTCTTCCTAGCTGGACCTCCACTTAGAAATCTAAGTAGGGTTTTCACTTCAACTCAAGCTAGCTAGCTAGCTAGCTCAAGGGTTCTCTCTCCTGGCCCCCAGGGGCCCCAGGGGCCCCAGGGGATTGTAGGCAAGTCCCAATGGCCGCCTGACATTTCCATCAGTGTTTAGAACCAGTGTCCAGTCCTTATGCCCCCCCCCCCCCGCAGCCTTATCTGCTGAGCAGTCACCCCAGCCTGCCCTTCCCTTTAGTTTGGTATTTTTACTTTAGCGTGGATACATCGCTTATTCATTTTTAAATATTTTTTTTTATTTATTAATACTGTTTGTCCCAATTAGGGTTAGTGTTACTGTGACAGACACCATGACCAAAAGCGTCTTGGGGAGGAAAGGGTTTAGCGCTTACGCTTCCAGATCAGGATCCTGGAGGCAGGATCCGGAGGCCGTGGAGGGGCACTGCCCACTGGCTTGCCCATTATGGCTTGTCTAGCCTGTTATCTCATAGAACCCGGGACCACACACCCTGGGATAGCGTGGCTAGCAATGGGTCAGGTTCTCCCCCATTAATCACTAATCAATAAAATGTCCTACAGGCTTGCCTGCAGCCTGATCTCAGGGAGGCATTTGGGGACAGAGGTGAGATAGGGTTTCTCTGCATAGCCCTGGCTGTCCTGGAACTTGCTCTGGAGACCAGGCTAGCCTCGACCTCAGAGAGCCGCCTGCCTCTGCTTCCCAAGTGCTGGAATTAAAGGTGTGCTCCACCACCACCTGGCTTGGAGGCGTTTTATGAATTGAGGTTCTCTCCGCTCAGATGACTCCAGCTAGCCCACTTTTACATCTGTTTTGTGTGTAAGAGGATCACATGCGTCACGGCACAGGTGTGCAAATATGTGTGAAAATGTGGGCGTGGGAGTGCCAAGGTATGTGTGGAGGTCGAAGGACATAGCACAAGTTGGTCCTCTCTGTCATGTGAGTCCCGGGGGTCAAACTCGGGCCATCAGGTCATCAGGCTTTACCCCCCGAGCCATCTTTTTTTTAAATTTTATGCTTATGAGTGTTGTTGGCCTGCAAGCATAGCGTGTATACCACATCATGCCTACAAAAGCCAGGAGAGGACTGATAGGTACTCGCTGCCAACAAAATGAGCCAACACAAGCCAAAATAAATTATAAAGGCAGGTTTATTGGGGGCAGCTCTTGGGCAGGTTCACCGGTCCCATGGAACGGAGCCAGGGAAGTCACCATGTAGAAGGAAACAGGAAGGGGCCATGAGAAGAGAAAGAGAGAACTGAGGAGAAAGAACAGGGGTGAGAACGACCTAAATGTCTGGATTAAACTGGGAAGAGCTTCTGCTTGAGGGGAATCCTAGCCCTTGGGCTGGACAGTTGAGGGCAGAGGGCTGGGTGTGCCAGCCACACCTTGTAACAGGCAGGGACTGAGGGATGCTGGGAGAACCTGGAGGCCAGGTCCACTTTGGTTAAATAGGCCCGTCAACCGCTTGTCCTGGGTCTGAATCCGAACAAGGATGACAGATCCCCTGGGACTGTGGGTGCTGGGAAGCAAACCCAGGTCCTCTGAAAGAGCCGCAGGTGCTTTGAACCACTGAGCCCTTTCTCCAGTTGCTGCCTCCACCACTTTACTCTTTTTTTTTTTTTTAACAGGGTCTCACTGTGTAACTTAGGGTGGCCTCAAACGTGTGATCTTCCTGCCTCACCCTTCCAAGTGCTGGGATTACAACATGCCCATATGTCATTAAAAAATATCTGGGTTGGAGAGATGGCTCAGAGGCTAAGAGCACTGGCTGCTCTTCCAAAGGTCCTGAGTTCAATTCCCAACAACCACATGGTGGCTCACAACCATCTATAATGAATGAGATCTGGTGCTCTCTTCTGGCCTGCAGGTGTTACATGCAGACAGAACGCTGTATACATAAAACAAACAAAAAAACCTCACGATCTTGAAATAATAAAAATCTTGTTTCTTTATTTAAAATGTTAAAAGTTTGCTTTTCATGTTTAGGTCTGTACATGTTTTCTGTATACAATGTGCAATAGGGGTCCAATTTCATTTCTTTTCCCAGCAATTGGCTTCAGAGCAGTTTATCAAAGAGTGAGCTACACCATCTCCCATCTCCCCAAAGGCAACAGGTCCTCTGACACACCAAGTTTATATATGTGCTGGCCGATTGTATGTCGATTCCCTGTTTGCAGGGTCCGTCCGACTTTCTCTACATCTCTGTCCTCTTTAGAAATATTTTGATCATTGAATACTGATGGCTAAACAGGTTTCTGCTTTCCATAGGTTTTAATATTTTATTAGAAAATGGGGAGGGCAAGTTGCAGCTCATCTGCTCTTTGCCCTTTTATCAGGGTACAATTTGTAAAAGGCTCAAATTTCAGATTGAGCCAGCTTCCAGCAACACAACCCTTGGGGTAAAGGACAAATTTTAGGACAAAAGCGGAACCTTTACATCCCTGTAAACATCGGGGAGCATGTTAGACATGAGGTAGAGCAGGTGTAGATCAAGCCCGTTTTACAGTCGAGGACAGTCCAGCTCTCTTACCCACTATGGCTCTGAGTGCTTTGTCACACCTGGTGCGCGTAGGTCTCCCTGCTCCTCTAAGACTGTGGCCTCAATCTCCCATCTGCCTTTTCTCTCTGATTCTCTGCCGCCTGCTATTAGATACTATGAAGAAACGCTGATTCGGAGGGGGATATGACATAGCCCGAGTTCTCCAGAGCCTTCTGCTGTCCGGGATCCACTTCATCTCAGCCGGCTGCGCCAGGGTTCTCAGGGGCCACCAGAGGGCGCTCGGAGCTGCCAACCACCCAGCGCACCCTCCCGGAGCCCCGCCCCCTCCGGCTGCGGCCCCGCCCCGTCCGGCGCGGCCTCGCTCTCGCCGTTCTTGGGGCGCCCGGGACCCTAAGCTCTCGGCGTCGCCAGTTCCTCGGCCCGATCATGGGCCCTGCCGGTCGCCCCGCGCTGAGGTCGCCGTCGTCGCCGCCACCTCCTCCATCGCCGCCGTCACCGCTGCTGCTGCTGCTGCCCCTGCTGCCTCTGTGGCTGGGCCTGGCGGGGCCCGGGGCCGCGGCGGACGGCAGCGAGCCGGCGGCCCGGACGGGGCGGGGCGGAGCCCGCGCGGTGCGGGTGGACGTGAAGCTGCCGCGGCAGGACGCCCTGGTTTTGGAGGGCGTCAGGATCGGTCCCGAAGCCGGCCCCGAGCCGCTGCTGGGCGGCCGCCTGCTGTTGGTGAGAGCAGCCCAACCTAAACTTGCCGTGACCCTCGCAAAGACCCCGCTCTGCAGAATCCGTCATCCCGAAGCAAGCTCCTAACAGCCCAGAATGCCGCGCCCCAGCAGTCAGGCTTTTGAAAACATGAGATCCATGTGCCCCTTCCAAATTCGTTCCTACACCCTGACCTTGCATCCTCTATGGCAGACCCTGACCATCTCTTCCATCCCCCTTGCCTCCCTCTTCTTATGGCTGCCTGTCACACAGATGGACGTCGTGGATGCTGAGCAAGAGATACCCGTAGATGGCTGGATTGCAGTGGCATATGTGGGCAAAGAGCAGGCCGCCCAGTTCCACCAGGAGAATCAGGGCAGTAGCCAGAAGGCATATCCCAAGGCCCTGGTCCAGCAGGTGCAAAGGGTGTTTGCAGGGAAAGGGAGAAAAGAAATGTTTTCACAACATCTGCTATGTGATGGGGAGGTGGGAGGATGTGGATTTGCTGGGGAAAGTGGACCTGTTCTCAGAATATGTGACGGGGTGAAGAGAACTGCTTTGCCAGGACTAGGGCAAATGACAGGTTTGTTTGTTTTTGGCTCCTGCAGAACGGGAGGAGTGGAAGTTTCTCACACACATGATAATGTGCAAATTTCTTAAAATCAAGAATATCCTTTATGTAACTGTAGTGTATGGAGATCAGGAAAGTTACATCTCTAAACTGTTGTAATTAAATATTGCCTCAGTCCACAGCCATCTTGTGTTGCCTTTGGCTGTCGTATCTCTTCTGCCTCTAAAACCGTCCCTTAGCCGTGGCTTGACTTCAGAGAGCTTATGGTTTGACTATGCAGAGGTCAGGCTTCCGAGAGCTGGGGCCACAGCTAAGGCAGGTCTGTGGCAGCCTCTCACCTTCTGTCTTCCCTTGCAGATGCGCCGAGCCCTCTTCCTGGGAGCCTCTGCCCTGCTTCTCCTCATCTTAAACCATAGTGTGGTCCGAGAGGTAAACTGGAGTGGACTGTGAGGGTGAGCAGGTGAGGGGCCAGGGCCCCGAAGCCTGCTGACCTCCTTGTCTCCTGCAGTTGGACATATCACAGCTTCTGCTGAGGCCAGTAATTGTTCTCCATTATTCTTCCAATGTCACCAAGCTGTTGGAGGCACTTCTGCAGTGAGTTGGGATGGTTCTGGGTGGTTTGGTGTGGTGCCTGAGTGCCATGGGTCTCTGGCTCTCCAGTGGCTCGAGGGGAGGAGCGAGTCTCTGGAGAAGGACCTTACCTGTTAGCCCTTAAACTACTGTCCAGGGTTGAAAGTGGGGGAGGGGACAGGAAGGAGGAAGCAGGACCTGGGAAAGGAGTTGCCGTATGGGCAGAGGGGACTAACCCAGCATGAGGAAGCTGAGTGCCTGGTTGACAGACTGTTCCTTGGCCTGGCTGGGGGAAATCAACAGCTAGGAAAGGCCAACAACAACAATATCCTGGGGTGTCCACCTAAGAGCCAGAAAGATGAATCTGGCCCTCCCTTCCCAAGAGCACTTCTGTCTGCCTCTCCCCTCCCCCCGTGATTCTTCCTCCCAGGAGGACCCAGGCAACTGCTGAGATCACCAGTGGAGAGTCCCTTTCAGCTAACATCGAATGGAAGCTGACATTGTGGACCACCTGTGGCCTCTCCAAGGATGGCTACGGAGGCTGGCAGGACTTGGTGTGCCTGGGAAGTGGTCAGGCCCAAGAGCAGGTAGGTGCCAGTGGATCCTAGGAGTGGAGGCTCGGGTGGGGCCAAACATAGGCCTTGATGGTAAGGACAGCCCTGCATACCTTAGAGCTGATTAGTGAGATGGTACCAGTAGACACTGAACATGACACTTGGGCAGTGGTAGCTGCTGACATCATGTTCTCAGTAGCCTTCACAGCTCTCACTTGTCCCATTTTTTTTTCCCTATTGGGGACAGAACCCAGGGCCATGTGCATGCTCAGCAAGTGTTCAACTATAGAGCGCCACCCATACTGACTCCGTATTTCTAGTCTTATCCATAATTTCTGACTACCTGACTATTCACCAGCTCCCACACCCACCCTGACTTCCTGCCTCTGGGTCTCGCCAGTGACTGGCCCTCAGTGTTTCCCTTTTCCCTGTCCACGTGAGTCCTTGGCTAGTGGAACTTTTGCAGCTTGTCCTGCTTTCCTGCTTTGGAATGTTCCCTTTGGTCCTCTGCTCAGTCATGGCTGGGCTTTTCCAGGCTTTCCTAGTGCTATTAGCAGCTCCAACCCTGTATGTTGGAGAGAGTGACTTTGTGTCCTCGTGGCGATGGCTGTGTTTTGTGTCTACATCCCCCAGTGTTTGGCTTCTGGGGTGGGGTCAAGGTGTTCAGTCCACAGCATTTCTTCAACTCCAGAATCTGTGTAAGTTGAGGAGAGGCAGACACCCTCTGTTCTCCTTGTGTGCAGTTTCAAGTATTTGTGATATGGGCCATTTTGAAGTCAGGCAGGTTAAACACTGGCTCCTAAACCTTAGCTGAACAACTACAGGCCAAGAGTTTTCTGTTCCTCACATGTACTCTTTCCCCCACTGGGAAGGACCATGTGGACCTCCGGGCAAGGGAAGCATTTGGTGAAGGGCAGGGGAAAAGGTTCCATGTGGGACAAGAGCAGGCTGGGAAAGGACCCTGGTGGCCTGGGGGTGAGAATGTACAGTGTTTAGGACAGGCTGACAGGGACAGAGGACAAAGCTGAACAGCTGCGAAGGTACTGCCAACCAAGATGTGAGTGGCCTGTGCAAGGGTCGTATGGCCATGGCAGGAGAGATAGCTGGCCAGGCGTCGCTAGTAGCTGCCCCGATGAACAGCGCACCCCGAGCCCAGCCACCACCCTGAGCTGGGAATCCCGAAGCTGCACTGAACAGCGTGCTGGCTGCCCTAATGGGGGGGCCTTTGTCCTCCCCTCCTCACCAGGGGCTTCCATCCTGCCTGCTCCAGAGCACAGGCTTCAGAGCAGCTCTGTCTTGATGGCCACCCAACATGACTTGCTGATTGGCCTGCCACAGTGTAGCACAGAACACCGCACAGTAGCTCCAGCCTGGGCTCTGGCCGGGGAGCAGGTAGAGACTGTCACTCTGTAGGAGTGAGCCACAAGCTGGCAGCAGGCACAAACCCTTCCTCATGGCAAAAGCACGTGAGCCCAACCTAGGGCTCAGGGTTTCCTGGTAGAGGTGCCACCATTTCTCCGTGATTACAGGTGAAGAGGCAGGGTTACAGACACTTCTGAGGAATGACAGCAGTGCTTTCACCCCAGGCAAGGGCTGCTTTGGCTGCATTCACAGCCCCCAGCTTGGTCTAGGATGGTGGCTTTTTTTGTCCGATCACTTCAGCTCCTCTCCCCTGCTGTGATGGGAGTCTAACCCATATTAGGAAGTGCAGACCCAGGGAAGTACTTTACCAGGCTTTTATAGGACTATTAGGACATCCCATCCTCTATGCTGTGACAAAGAGGAGCTACTGGGAAGCTCAGAGCTTTTAAGTGAACGTGTCTGTTAGTCACAGCGCATCTCAACTCTGTGTGAAGTGGTGTACCTGTGTGGGAGAGCCCTGGTTGCCTGCTTACTCTGCCACTTCAGTTTCATTCCCCCAAAGACTGAGGCTACAGCATGTCCATGTCAGACTTGGTTCTCCACCAATGAAAGGTCCTTGACGACCCAGGGCAGTAGCAGGGGAGCCCATGGTCAGTGTTAGGAGGGCTGTGCAGAGGGAACACTCACCCTGAGGGTCAGGGGGTATTCCTGGAACAGTAGGCCAAAGGTGTGAAGAGAAGGGACAAGGAGAGTCCATTTCAAGATGGGAAATGTGGCAGGGCATGGACATGGCAAGGCAGAGGACAAGGGAGAAAGCAGTGAATGAGGGAAGGGGCAGGTTTTGTCAGTTGCCAGTGAAGTCCCTGGGGTTGGGGGTCTGCTGTGTGCCAGTGGTTAAAGAGAGAAATGACCATAAAGACACATCTTTACCAGCTTCTGCTATAGCTTCCGGTGTGAGCATCAGCTTAGGTGAAGGTGAGTGGGGGTGTAGGGACTTCGAACAGACCTGGAGGAAATCTACGCTGGGGACTGAGTAGCAGGATATTAGGGACAGACGTGGCTCTCCATGCAGACTCTGTTCATAGGTAGATGGGATGGAGACTTAAGCTGAGCAAGCGAGGAGCCTGCAGAGACAGAGGCCCTCAGTGCACGTCACCTGCTCTGTCACCAGTGTTCCTGGGGGTGGATATTCCTGGGGGAAGCATGTGGAGCAGCCTCAGTGTCCCTGACATCTGCCTCCCTCCCCAGAAGCCCCTGCAGCAGCTATGGAACGCCATCTTGCTTGTGGCCATGCTCTTGTGCACAGGCCTTGTGGTTCAGGCCCAGCGGCAGGCATCAAGACAGAACCAGCAGGAGCCTGGAGGCCAGGTGGGAGCCAGATTGTGGAAGCCCTCCTGCTCACAGCCCTTGGGCCTGCAATACTGTGGCCATCCTTTTCCCACAGGGGGACTTGTTCAAACGCCGTGTGGTTCAGAGACTGGCGTCCCTCAAGACCCGGCGCTGCCGGCTGAGCAGAGCAGCACACAGCCTTCCAGAGGCTGGCACTGACACCTGTGCTGTTTGTCTAGATAACTTCTGTAACAAGCAGGTTAGTGCCTGGGGCAAGATCAGCCACCAGCTGACCTGTGGCATCCCTGATCCCACTCCCAAGAGACTCTCAAGTCTCCAACCAGCAGGGTCCTTCTTCCAGTCCTTATTATGGCTGTCAAGAGCACACCTGGAGAAGGACCAGGAGTGCCCAGTGCAGGTGAAGGGCACAGGCCTAGTCCCCATCTAGAGCCTGTGTCCCTCTTCCCACTCTAGTGGCTCCGGGTACTGCCGTGTAAGCATGAGTTCCACCGCGACTGCGTGGACCCCTGGCTGATGTTACAACAGACCTGCCCACTGTGCAAGTTCAATGTCCTGGGTGAGCACTAGGGGCCAGGTGGGGGCCAGGGTTCATCCCCTAAGCCCCACCTGATACTTCTCTCCCTGCTCTTCCTCCTTCCATACAGGAAACCACTACTCAGATGACTAACTACCCCCAGAGGAGAGTCTGCACTTCGGGATGGGCCCTTCCCAGCCTCCACTACAGGACAGTGGGGTGGACAGACGAGCTAGCCCTGTGGGCAAAGTGAAGGTCCCACCATACCCATGATGGGTAGGATGGACTCACAGCCCCAGGCTGAAGACACAGAGCCAGGACTACCAGGCAAGGAGAAATCATTAGAGCCCTTCTCTGCAACCCTGGGATATCTGTGTTTGCCCTCATAGGCAGCTCGCAGGAGTCTGGGAAAGAAAACATGGCCACTACATCTGTCCCCAGCACTCTGGAGCTTCAGAGGTTGAATTTTATGCTATTTATTGGGGGATAGATTGAGGGGAAAGATGTGTGGCCATGGGACCCACTAGTCTGACCCTGTCGTTCAGGCTGTGGCTTTGTCAAATCAAAGGTATGATGTGAAATGAGCCTCCTCCACTACTTGCTGCCAGCCCAGCTGGGCTCTTCCAGTCTGGCTGGGATCCGAGGCCTTAGAAACCATTTAGTGCTGTATTTCTTGGTTGGGCTAAATGTTACTGACCAGGATACTTGAAGGCACAGAATATATGTGGTGCATCTGCCAAGGGCATCATTTAAAAAACAAAACAAATAAAAAAACATTTGGGTAGGGAAGTTTTAATAGTAAAATAAACATGGAATATATTTTAACATAAGACATAAATCTGTGTGGATGTTTTAAGATGTTGAGCAAGAGGTGGGGATGTGGTGGCATGTGCCAGTAATCCCAGAAACCTGGAGGTAGAGGCAGGAGGATTAAGAGTTAAAGGCCAATGTAGTGGTGTACTCCTTTAATCCCAGCGCTTAGGAGGCAGAGGCAGGCACATCTCTCTGAGTTTGATGCCAGCCTGGTCTACATATCAAGTTCTAGTACAGCCAGGGCTCCAGAGAGACCCTGTCTCAAAACAAAACAAAACAAAACAAATTAAGGCCAAACTAGGCTACTGGGCAGTCCATGTAATCCTTTTGTACCTTAGCCCTTGGAGGGAAGGGAAACCAGAGGACCATGCGCTCTTGATCATCCTTGGCTGCATAGTGAGTTTGAAGTCAGCCTGGGCTCCTCTCAGGAAGAAAAACAAACAAAATAGCAATCACCTTGGCTCTCTTGCTGGGAGCAGAAGTTCTTACATCCTCGGAGCCTCGCACTCCTTTGCTGCATGATCATGCCTAACTCCTGTGAGTAGGTTATGTTATGTGACCTCCAGATGAGAAAGGCAAGGGCTGGGGTCATGGCTAACTGGTAGAACACTTGCCTAGAATGCACAAGGTTCTGAATTCAACCCCCAACACTAAGCAGTAACAACGAGAAAAGCGTCTGGCCAACACATGAGCCCACAGAAAGCAGGAGGAGGTCAGAGACTGAAGGGGGTTTCATGTAGGAGACAGACAGCCTCCCCACCCCGTTTTGAGACAGGGTCTGTATGTAACCCTGGCTTCTTAGAGTTTGTATTGTAGATCAGGCTGGCCTCAAACTCAAAGAGATCCTCACACCTCTGCCTCCTGAGTACTGGGATTACTCAGTGCCATCATGCCCAGCTCTGGTGCCTTCTTGAAGATGGGTACTGTGAATAAAAGGCCAGGAAAGAGCAATGTGGCCGTGGGGACCTCAGCCCCACAGCCCAAGCTTAAGGATCAAGCTCTGCCACAGCCAGGAGCTTGTAAGAGGACTCTTTCCCCAGAGCCATCTAAAGGTGACATCCTCAGTGACACCCTGGTTTTTCACCTCTGAGCACCTGAGCAGAGGGCCTGGTCAGACAGCTGGATGTCTGGACTTTCTGCTTGTTTCCTATTGTTCTCTGTCTATCTGTCTGGCCAGGTCCTCACTGTATAGCACAGGCCTCAAACTCTAAATCCTCCTGTTGCAGCCTCCCTCACGTATGTGTCACATAGCTGGGAAGGGTCTGGCCTACTGACTGGCAGAAGTGAGAGCTAGTCAATGAATGTTGTGTCAGCAGAGGCCTGGGACGCTCAGCAGTCACAGGGCCTCACTCCTGGATTTGGATATGGCCTCTCTCAGGGAGCTGTGCCCCAAACTGGCTCTCCCCTGGTAGAGTGGCTCAGAACATCTAATTTCCTCCAGAACTCTGCCTCCTGAGTACTGGGATTACTCAGTGCCTGGGCTGTTAAGAAGCAGATTTGGGCCAGGTGGTGGTGCACAGCACTCAGGAGGCAGAGGCAGACAGATCTGTGTGAGTTCAAGGCCAGCCTGGTCTACAGAATGAGTTCCAGGACAGCCAGGGATACACAGAGAAACTCCGTCTTAAAGCCCCCTTCCTCCCTGCCAAAAAAAAAAAACAAGAGTTGGGAGACCTGACAGTGCCAGCTCACTGCACATGTGGCTTCCATTGATCCTTCACTCAACCTGATGGCCTCCTCATCATACAATAAATAATGCTATCCAGAAGGCTTGGCAAGTGTGACCTGAGAAATCCTCATTAATATTTAGAGCCTGTCCTTCACAAATAGGGTGACTCAAGGCAGGCTAGTGGTTTGCTTAGAAAAATGACCAGTGTGTGCAATGTGGCTAGTAGCATCCTTGCTCGATTCCTTGTCATCCTGAACCTGTGGAGCCCCTAAGTCTGATTCTCATCAAACCTTTGAGTGGCTAAGGTGTCCAGTGGCCTGTACTTTCCTCCAGTGGTTTTGCAGCTCTCTAGGACTTAAGAGGGACCTCTCAGTTGTCCTGAAGGAGTGAGCTCCTCCGTGAGCTGCCTGGTGTCCTTGGCAGAGCCAGATGCAGATGCAGAGCCAGAATGGAAGGCAAAGGCAGTGCTCTCCTCTGCCTGCCTTGCTAAACCAGAGGCAAGCTCCTGGCCTCTGGCTCCTTGTATCAGATGTGCCCTAGCTTCCCAAACTCTACTCTGAGTGCTGGTCAGTGAATCCAGGGTTACCCTTCAGCCCTTTCTATGGGATGCTTGGCCCAGGTGCTGCCCTCAGTGTGCTCTCCACAGCACCTGTCAGGATGGAAACAGGAAGCTCCCTTTCAGTGCCAGGCCTCTAGGGGCCAGTGACCTGCATGGTGGGATCTTCAGAGGCCCTTACCCAACAAGGAGGGAAGGTCTGTTCCCTCAGCTCAGCCACGCTGAGGCCAAGATCGCTGCGGGCAGATGGCTGGGGCTTTTATTCCATGAGGGGTTGCTAGCCACCTGCCCTCCAGCCCTACCCCTGCTGTGGGCTATGTGGGATGTTCCTGGGGCTGGTGTGAAGAGCCAGCCTGACCTCTGTTCGGTGAGAGTTTCCTCCTCAGCCTGGCCAAGGCCCGAATGGGGTTCTGGGCACAGGCGGCTGATTGGGTTCCGTCCTCCAAAGAGGACTTGCTGGGCCAGCTGCAGGGCTGCCGTGGGGGGGTTGCCCGGGGCCCGCCTGGATGAGTCCTGCCTGCACTGCTCATCCTGCTGCCAGGAGACTGCCATCTGCCCATGGGCCTGAGGACAGGAACACAAAATGCCCTGTGATCAAGGCGACCACACTTAGGACCATGTACTGATCTTCCCAGCCTCAAGGAAAGCCTTACCCTGGGGAAGCACTCTGGGCCTGGGCTGGAGGTGTTGCTCTCTGAGTGCCCTTGTAGGAAGGGGACCAGAGCTGGCTCTGCGATACCATCTGCAAAGGAGGTCAAGTTCAGAAGGGCCCAGGAGTTCCTCCCTGCACTACAGCGAGTGTCACAAGATAGCCAGGGAGGCAGAACCCCAAGCCAAACCCTCTTCACAAAGAGACGGGACTTGGGAAGCCATCCAAGGGCCAGCCTCAGCTGCAAACCCTTGGGCAGGCGATATATATTGACTCCTGAAGTAAAAGAATGAGGGACTGTAATAGGATTACAAGCTGGAGGGCTCGATCTTTCATAGTCTCACGTCTTGATGTATGGAAGTTTTTCAAGTGTGGTCTAAACCACATGCCATGAAGCAGGCTCTCACGGCACAATCTCAAATCCTGCCTGGCCGGGACCCCTTCTAAATAAAATACCCAAGCCCCATTCAAAGGTTCACCTTGAGGCCTCCCTGCTGGGCCACCTCTCGGATTTTGGTCAGCATTGACTGGAGCCGTTTGTTCTCCTCCTGTAGGACCTGGATACGGATATCATTGGCTTGCACTTGCCTCTCCATGTCTTGGGTAACATTGTCAGAGCCTGCAGAGACATATTTGGTGTCCTAACTCACTGGGCTGCTCAGCAGTCACAAGGCCTCACTCCTGGAGAGCTGTGCCTAAAACTGGCTCTCCCCTAGTAGAGTGCCTCAGAACATTTAATTTCCTCCAGAACTCCTGGGCTGTTAAGAAGCAGATTTGGGCCAGGTGGTGGTGCACACCTTTAATCCCAGCACTTGGGAGGCAATTGTATCCAATTGGCAGGACCATGGAGGATGTGAGGTAGCACCCCAGGCACCAGCCCACCTTCCTGTTGCCACCTACTGTGAAGGTGACATTACAAGTCAGAATCTGAGAGCCAGGTGAGTACTAGAAGCTGCAGATTTGGGTATTGAGTAAAACAATGGATCTTGGGGCCAGAGAGATGGCTTACTGGTTATGGGCACTGGCTGCTCTTCCCATGGTCCTCAATTCAATTCCCAGAAACTGCATGATGGCTCACAACCTTCCATCATGGGATCTGATGCCCTCCTCTGATGTGCAGACATACATGCATGCATAACACTCATATACACAAAATATATAAATAAATATTTTTAAAAAATGGAGCTTATTCAAGGCCGCTTGCCTTTGGCCTGGCAAAGGTACTATAGGCTGTCCAAAGGTACATGGCAATTTGAGTCACAGGAAGTTATGATGTATGCTCTTGCTTACACTGTGGTTTGTGGAAGAAAGTGTCCAGCTCTATAAACCTGAGCAAGTTGCTGCCCATGCTAGATCTTAGTTTTCCAGTTTATAAAGAAGTTGGGCTAGAGAGATGGCTCAGCAGTTAAGAGCACTAGATGCTCTTTCAGAGGACCAGGGTTCAGATCCCAGCATCCCCATGGCAGCTCACAGCTGTCTGCAACTCCAGTTCTAAAGGATCTTCCCCAATTTCTGGCCTTCAAGCCCCAACACAGTGATAGACATATAGAACCAAAACATCCACGTGCAAAAAACAAAAGAAGTTTGTAGGGCTGGTGTGATGGCTCAGCAGGTAAAGAATGATGTTTGCCACCAAACCTGACCACCTGAGTGTGATCCCTGGACCTCTGGGCCTACATGCAAAAGGAGAGGACCACTTTCCACACTTGTCTTCTGACCACACGTACTGCAGTGGGCGCACACACACAAAGTAACTGTTCCACAAAGGGTTTTAATTATCAAAGGACAGGGTCCCGCCCCACCTCACGAGGCAGGTGTGGGCAGCAGGAGGGGCCAGCACTTAGTGCTCTGGAGTGATGACTCACTGTGAGCAGCTGAGCTACAGTGGGTCTCCTGACAGCTCTGGAGAGGAAGCCATCCATCCCAGAGCCTTAGAAGTCTGGAAATGCTGGCAGGAGAACAGAGATCACCTGACAGGATCCTGTGTCTGTGTAGGTGCCCAGTGCTCAGTGCAAGGTCCTAACCATGGGGTCCAGGATACTGGACAGTTGGGGCTGTATCCTCGAAAATGGCACCATGGTGTATGACACCAGGAAAGGAAATCTGGGGAAGTTGAACAAGGACTGGCATGTGATGTGAAGAACATTCTAAAGGCAGACAGACCTATGCTTGGACTCCACTAGGGTGAAGGGGCAGTCATTTGGCCTCTGGACTTCTGTGTGTCATCTTCACAGAAAGATGAACAACATAAGAAACACTTGTGGCTCGTGGCAGCTCTAAAGCCACACAGCTCACCCTCTTCCCATCTCCTGTTGCTGAGGGTGTGAACAGGAGCAGACCCTGGTCACATTCAGACAAGCTCCATGCCCAAGCAGGCCCACCCTGCCCCAGCAGTACTCCCAGGCCCCTACTTTGGATCTGGGCCTCCATTGGCTGGTGCAGGTCTGGGAAGGCCACCAGCAGTCGCTGCTGCTCCTTCAGCTCCTCTAACTCGCGTTGCAGCTCTGCGATAGTCAGCTTCAGGTCTGTAGTTACCTGATCCAGGTCCTGTTTTTCCTGCTGCAGGCTCTGCAGCAATTCCTGGGGGCGAAGAAAAGCTCGGACCTGGCTCCAAGCTCCCTTGGGAACACAAGACAGGCCTAGGTGCACTCAACAGGTTAGAGGCTCCTCAGAGAGGACTGCCGCCTCTCACACTACCCCCACTTTACCTGCTGGGCCTGTAGCTGGCACTGTCCCTGTTCCTTATCGTTCTGAAGGCTCTGCAGCTGTTCCTCCAACTCAGCCTGCCGGGCCTCAGCCTCCTCCAGACTCCCCCGCAGCTCTTCCCGCTCCTGGTCCAGACAGTCCAGCTGCTGTAGCAAGGTCCTCTGCTTGGCCTGCAGGGACTAAATGCAAATGGATAGGAAGGGCAGCTGTAAGGACCCTGGGACCAAACAAGGCTCTTAGGCCTAAGGAGGCAACTGTGGTGCCTATGACCTGTGCTGTTTAGGGCAACTTCTTTGACCTCGCCGTGCTCAGTTTCTCCATTCATAAAATGGGGGACAACAGGAGTATCTACCTCCTCCTATTGTGGGAGTAAGGATAAGAGGGCTGCAGAGCCTGAAGCCCAGAGCCCGGATCATAGACCTCACCTCCTGATGACGGACCATGCTGTCAACTCGGGCCTTCTCCTTGTCCAGCTCTGTGCTGGCCCAGCGGATCTGCTGGCCAGCCCCATCCAGCCGCCCTGCCAGCAGCTGCACTTGCTCCTCCAGCTGCTGCACCTGCTGCTCAGCTGCTGCCCGACGCTCACCTTCCTCCTCCAGCTGCTGGGCCTTTGCCTCTGCAGGATTGAGCGAGCAGGTACGCAAGGGGTGGGGTAAGGGAGGCCTGGGTGAGAGTCTCTGAAACACCTCTGTCTGGGGCTAAGGGGAGGTCACATCACAGATCTGAAGGCCACATTACAACATGGGGCTCTGGACCCCATGAGGTGGGTCCTGGAATACCGAAGGCACCCTCTGCCTGATGCTAAGACTCCAGCTTGGACCATCACCAAAGAACAGGGTCAGAACTGTCCTCCTATGGTTCCCACTCTCTTTGCTCTAGAAGCTTAGAATGGACATGAGGTCCATCTGACTCTGCAATGAGTTGAGATGTGGGTGGGGTCACGCAAAGGGGCTTCTTACCCATGGCCTTCACAGACTTCTGCTGCTGCTTCAGGTCCCCTTCCAGAGTGGCCACCTTTGCCTTTAGGTCACATGTTTCTGTGGCAGCCAAGAGAGAGGCCTTTCAGAGGATCACTTGGGCCTGTGGCCTTTTAAGCCCAGTGCACCCTGCAGAATGGAGGCAACCATCCAGCGTGCAGGGGCTGCTTGAGTTGGCAAGGGAAGCCTGGGGTGATCCTAGAAGGCCTTGGTCTCTGGGCATACTCCACAGGCTGCCTGCTGCATTCCCTGTGCCTCTCTGGACCCAGCACTCTACACAGAGGTAAGGGTAAGGCTCAGAAAGGACAGGGACTTCTTGCTAGCAACAGTAGGCTCCAGTACCTTCCTTTCACCCAAGAGCTTTTGCCAAAGCCCAGAGGCTGCTCTGTTGAGGCAGAGGTGTGGGGGTTGGGAGGTAAGCTCACAAAGGTGTGCCTTTAGTGACCACCTGGAGGGAAGGTCAGAGTACCACCCCAGCCCTCTCCCCTTCTGATGAGACAGGTCGAGGCTGGGGTGCCATTCAAGCCTCCAGGTATTCCCTGAGGGGGCAGAGCTCCAGCTGCTCAGTGTCACCGGCCAGATGTCTGCACCCTTCCTGCTGCCTTTCTTTCCCGGAACTCCTGCCCAATCCCCAGCCTGGGTTAATTTCATGCAACTACTGGGACTCAAAGCCTGATCTCTGAGGGGGAGGAGGAATGGTCCTCTTGAAGTCAGGCCAGTGTCTGGCCTCTGGGGAGTAGACCTGTGAGCAGCTGTTGCCTGTCATGCTCGCACTTGGCCAGGTTCCGCTCTGCCTCCTCTCTCTGCTGCCGCCGCTCCCCTTGCTCCTGCAGCAGGGCCTGCTCCAGCTTCCCCACCTGCTTCCTCAGTCCATCCTTCTGTCCCTCGGCCTCTTCCAGCTGGGCCCTGAGAGGCCCAACAAGTTGGGTGAGGGTCCCCATGTGCTTATTGAGACGAGTCAGATCTTTGCTCTGCTCGGCCGCCCAGTGGCCCACGGTGGTAGCTGGCAGTGCCTTAAGCCCCATGCTGTCCTGCACCAACTTGTGAAATTGGCTCAAGGATGAGGGCAAGTTTTGGCTCTGACAGAGGCTGATAACCACCTTGCCCACCTCCCACAGGCTGCCCTGGACACTGGTACAAGCATCGCAGGGCACCAGGGCAGTCTCGATGGTCTGGGTGTGGACGCTCTTGGTTCTCTCAGGGGTCCCAGCTGGGCTCCGCAGGGAGACTCTGATGGGAACGCTCTGCAGCCCTTGGCAGATCAGAGGCAAGCCTGGCACCGGGGAGGGAGGCTTGATGAACTTGGCAGTCATACATTCAGGGGTCCTGGCTGGTTCACCCTTAGCCGTGGACTTGGCGATGGGAATCTCCCCTTGGTTTGCTCTTTTCTGGGGTCAGGAAAAGAAAGGGGAGGCAGGTGAGAGAGATGGGCAGGGAAGGTAACCAGTTCCTGGAGATATTGGTGACAGCCTTGCCCGAGGCTCAGGTCTTCAGATGTTATGTGACACCCGCATAAATCACAGAGAACCTTCTTCTTTTTCTCTCTGATTCAGCCACGCTCTCCCTGCTCCAACCCTAGGCTTTACATTGTTAAATATGCATGTGACTGAGAGGGTGATGGTGGAAGTTAGAGCTAATTGTCACTGGGTTCTTGTTTGCTCTCATGCCACTATAAGCACTCTGTTTTAGACTCCTCTTTCTCACAGTGACAGTGTCCTTTCTCGATGGGTGACTGAGAGGATGGTGGGATACCCTGTTATCAAATGGGGCTCATATAAACCCATTGTATAGATGAACAAACTGCAGTTTAGAGTGGGAAGGCATTTTCCCAAAATCCCACTGTGTAAATGGCAAAGCCAGGGAGGCAGATATAACCTTCAAGACCTGCTTTCTTAACTGCGAAGCCCATGGGCCTTGAACAGGAGGCTCTAGAGTTTGAATGTTCCATGTGGGCAGTGGAGAGGCAGCGAAGGATGTGGTGCGTGCGGTGGTGGTGTAGGTGAGGTGACATGAAGGATGGGAGACACACCTGGGGGGTGGCCTGCTGGTAGAGCACGCCCAGCCTTAGCAGGTTGCTCCAGAAGCGCCGGACTGTGAGCCCCACGGACATGCATGGCCCTGCAGCCCGGACAGGGGGAATCATCTGTTCCAGTGTGAGGTTTTCCAGGTAACAGGCACAGCTCTGAAGCAGCAGCAGGAGCCTGTGGGCAGAGTTGCTGGGGTGGGCTGGGGCCAAAGTTGGTGATGATACAGTCCTCATACAACTGGGGGGGCTTTGAGCTCTGGGGGATTGACCTGGACACCAAGAACCTAGAGAGAGTGCAAGTCAGCTTTGTGCTCAGCCCAAGGGCCACTTCAGATTCAACCAGGGCCCATCTCCCCAAAGGTGTCCTCTTGTGGCTACCTGGATGGCAGTGCTTTCTGTCTCTCCCCAGTTGACCAAGGTACTGAGGAAAGGCAGCCTGGGCCAGAAAGTTCTGGAAGAGTAGTTGCCTGCCTTTACAGATGACAGAATTGGGCTGGAGAGATGGCTCAGAGGTTAAGAACACTGGCTGTTCTACCAAAGGTCCTGAGTTCAATTCCTAGCAACCACATGGTGGCTCGCAACCATCTATAATGAGATCTGGTGCCCTTTCCTGGTGCACAGGCACACATGCGGGCAGAACACTGTATGCATAATAAAAAAAAAAAAAACAAAAAACAGATGACAGAACTAAACCGAGATATCCTAAATAGCAAGAGCATTCCAAAGACACGGGAAAGCAGGGAAGGGCAAGGGCACGTGAACGTTCTCCTGGTTCCAGTCAGGGGTGCCTCCTTCAAGCATAGTGGCAATTGTGACTTGGGGTGAGGACAGTTAGGTCTCTTTATGCTAACCTCCAAATTCAAGTTTAGAGTCAAGTACTGATGTTAGGGGAAATGGGTGTTGTAAAATGTGCATTTTCACAGCCAGGACTCACCTTAAAGGCAGAATTATGTTTGTAGCACACACCTGGAAGGTGAGTGAGCTTATCTTGCTGCAGGAGGGGGTGGGATGGGAGGTAGCACCTCAACCCTGACGCTTTGAGAAGGAGATACCCACTGCCTCTAGGCCTGCCCTCTGAGCCATGTGGACAACAACACTGGGGAACAGTCTGTGTTCTCAGACAGCCGTCTGTGGTGGAAGATGCTGTGTCTCCTTAGCCGTGGTCCCACCATTGACATGTCCTGAGCATCTCAAAACACTATATTGTTGGCTAGAGGCCATGGCCTTCAGGCTAGGGCTCTCAGGCTGAGCTTAGATTCAGTGGCCTCTGGCAAGAGTCACTTATAGGCAGAGGGAGCTAGTGCTACCTCAGAGGTAGGAAGAGCTCAGCCAAGGAGGGTGGTGGAGGCATGTCAGCAACAGCTTTTACAGGAAAGGGGTGTGACTGAGGCCTTGGTGGGTGAGGGGGCGCTCTGCCAGAGCAGGAAGGGGTTGGCAGAGCAAGCCTAGATGAGCAAAAGCACAAAGCCAAGCCCTGGGAGAGGAAGTGTTCTGTACTCACATTCAGCAGCCCTGTAGAGAGCCGAACACTGCTTTCACACCAGAGCTCCTCCAGGCCTGACAGGAGTGCCCTGCCCTCTCCATTCCCAAGCAGATCACCCTCAACACTTCTAATGCCCATTGGTTCCCTGCAGCTTTACTGGCATGGACAGGTTTTCAGTGCCAGAAGCCTGGGTTATGGTCCTCACAAGGAAACTTAGTGATGGTGTAGAGACCCGGGGGCAGGGGGCAGGGCGGGGGTTGGGGAAGACACCTCCCATTTCTGGCCTTGTCACAGCTCACAAGATGTCAGAGCCTGGGATGAAAATGCTATGCAGCAACTGTAGTGTTCCTGACACACAGAAACCTGAGGTGATAGCAGGCCAAGTTGTGGTATTATGGGGATCAAGAAAAGAGGGCAGAGAACGGGGATAAGGACAAGAACTCCCTGAGGCAGACAGGATAGGGCAGCATAATGTGGTACAGAGTGAAAAGTGGGGTTACTCGAGGGGCCTGAGTTGTGGTTCCTGACCTGTATATTCAGTCCATGGTTGACTGTTGTTACCCATGTTATCAGCACCTCTAGAAGGGGCTACTGCAGCTGCTGCGGGTGTGAGGGGCAGGTTCAGCATCTCTAGGTGTCCAGGTTTGGTCTAGGCCTCACCTGTCAATGACCAGCTCCAGCAGCACAGCATGAGACAATTGTGTGAACTCAGGGTCATCTGGCACATGGTCGTAGTGCTCCAGAAGGGACACCATGTCCAGATCACAGGCCACACGGTCAGGGAACTTCCAGGAGGGGAAGCGCACAGGCCCAGAACGGGAGAACACGTCCACAATGGTGCCCTGCAGGTCGGTGAGGTCCTTGCGCAGGCTGTCCATGCAAGCCTGGCTGCCTAACAGGTGTGCCATCTCCACAGCTCCTGGGGTTCAGAGAAGAGCCATGGCCAGTAAAAGTGGTGAGGCTACTGCCAGGAGAACTTTAGAAAACCCCTGACCTGCCTGGGTGTTCCACATCCCAAATCCACCTCTGGTTTTAGGGAGAAATCCCGAGTGACAGGCCCTTTAGAACCTGGTTCTGCTTTTTTACCTACCCATTCCTGTGGCTACCCTACTTCCTAAGACCCTGCCCAGGCCTCCCCTGCTGTGTGGAAGCAAGGATAAGTCTCCTATCTGTAGGGACCAGAGGAAGCCCTGAATGAGTGAAGACCTGAATAAATGAATGCTACTGATATGGGCACAGCAATAGCAAGGGCAGAGACTCAGACCAGAGGGTAGTGGCAAAGGCTTCCCTGGGGTCCTGAGTACGAATGGTGACAGTATAGTCAGACTTTGTCCACCACAGATTCCTCCCCTGGGATGTTTACAGCCTGAAGATTGCCCCCTACAGAGACTGTGCTCAGCAGGATTAGCTAAGCCTGTCTCCTTGTTCCAGCTCTATGCATAAACTCTGCCTGCTCGTTCATCTCTAATGACCGGCCTCCTTGTTCAGCTGTGTACCTTTCCTCCCCATTCAGCTCTATTTAATAAACACACTGCACTTCTGGGACGCTGAGGCTTCTCTATCCCAACCTCAGCTTCTCTTTGTGTCTGTATATTCTTCATTCCATCATTGATCCCAGCTAGGTCCAAGTCAGGAGCAATGCTAGATAAGGTACCTACCTCTCCCTGTCACATAGGCAAAGCACATCTTAGCTTCAGTATGACAGGGAATGCTAGGATTCCCCCCCCCCATAACACTCCACCCCTGTAAGCATCTGTGCCCTTTGAGCTCATCACTGCATGACCTGGTCACCAAGGCTAAGACTTGAGGACCAACCTGGGCCCCAAAGGTACCGGAAACTCAGAAACACCCAGGGTCGTGCTGGGGTCTGCAGCGGACTCTGGGTTTCCCATAGGACAGTTCTGTCCTTACCTCTCACAGATGTTTGCCCATAGAGCTGGAGTGAGCAGCTATGTTCTGGACCAGGTCGTGAGGTCTGGTGCCTGGCTTTCTGGCTCTTGGCTTCATGGTTCGGGTACAGGGCTGGCCGCAAACGGCCCTCCCATCCCTACGAATGGATGTACAGAGAGTGAGTGAACACACAGCCAACGGCTTCCTAGGAGACTGGGTGGGAGCCATCTGCAAGAAGAGATGTCCCTGGCTACAGGACAGGGATGAGAAACAGACTGGCGAGCATGCACACCTTCAGCCTGACCACAGTGGGCAGGCTTCAGTACAGCCACTTCCCCAAACCTGCCCTTTCACACACAAGGGGGAAAACTGGAACCCAGAGATGTCACTCAGGTCTAGCATCTTTCTTCCATCCTTAGGCCATGCAACTTCTAGAGCAGCCACATCCAAAAGAAGTACAATATGAAGCAAGGGAGCTTGGGAACTGAGAAAACAGCTGAAATACAAAGGCCACTTGCCCTCCCTTTTCCCTCATTCGCCCCTGAAAAGACTGTAAAGCTCAGAAACTCCCTCCCTTCTTCACTGACAACCTCATAGGATAAGCATCCTGCAGAAAAGCTGGTTGGTAAGAAATATCACAGGATAACGAAAAGAAAAATCTCGAGCCAGTGAGCTGGCTCAGTAGGCAAAACACTTGCCACACAAAGCTGACAACCTGAGTTCCATCCTTAGAACTCATAGGGTACAAGGAAAGCGTCCTCCACACATGCACTGTGACACATGCACACATGAACAAATACTGTAATAGTAAACGGGTTTTAAAAGAAAAACATTTCAACAGTCTATTTTGGTTTGAATGTGAATTGTCTCCCACTGGCTTAGGTATTGGTAGCCTGTTGCTCATTGATGAGCGTTGGGGAGGTGACTGGCTCTTGAAGGTTTTGATGTGGTCAGTGGGTTTAGCCCCTCATAAAGGCATAATATGATGGCATTACTGGTAGGTAGCGGAAAGGAGAAGGTAGGGCCTGGTTGGAAGAAGTAGGTCACTGCAGGTGTGTCCCTGGGGGCTATGGCTTGCCCTGGCTCCTCCTTTGCTTTTATTCTCTGTTCCTGAGCCTCCTCCTACCACTGAGATTTTCTTGTCACCACCAGCCCAGAATGAACAAGGGACTTAAGTCTCTGAACCAGAGAGCCAAAATGAATCTTTCTTCCTTTAAGCAACAAGAAAAGATGTCCTAAGTTTCCACTCTTTACTACTGTTAGAGCACAGACTGTTATCCTCCAATTATATTTTTTGAATGGCTGTCCATAAAAATACAAAGATTTCCTGGCGTCATTTTTCTGAAAGCTCCAAAACATAAAATTTTATTTACTCACTTATTTTAAAGCATGTGATGGTTTGAATGAGAATGGCTCCCAAAGGCTCAAATGCTTAAATGTTTGGTTCCCAGTTGGTAGAACTGTTTGGGAAGGATTAGGAGGTGTGGTCTTGATGGAAGAGGTGTGTCACTGGGGGGGGGGTGTCTTTGAGGTTTCAGAAGACCTAGTGTCCATCTCTCTCTGCCTGAATCTTTCAGATCAGATGTGAATTCTCAGCTACTGCTCTAGCACCATGCTTGCCTGCCTGCCACCATGATTCTTACCATGATGATCATGGATTCATCCTTAGAAGCTGTAAGCAAGCCTTCAGTTAAATGCATCCTTCTATAAGCTGCCTTGCTCACGGTATCTCTTCACACCAATAGAACAGTAACTAAGATAAAACATGTATTTTATGTTTATGAATGCTTTGCCTGCATATATGCAAGGGCACCTTGGGCATACCTGGTGCCTTCTGAGGTTAGAAGAGGACATCAGATCTTCTAAAACTGGCATTACCAGTGGTTATAAGTCACATGCAGGTCCTAGGAACTAAACCTGTGTCCTCTGCCAGAGCAACCAGTAACCTCTGAGCTATCTTTCAACCCTTATAGAACAACTTATAAAATACATTTTTATGCTTTTCTGTCTTTTTTTTTTTTTTTTAAGATAGGGTCTCACTAATGGACATAGTCTGGTCTCCAACTCAGAAATCTACCTGCCTCTGTCTCCCAAGTTCTAGGATTTAAGGTGTGTGCATCTGGTCCTGCTTTTCTTTTCTTCCTTCCTTTTTTTTTTTTTTTAAATATATGTCTTATTAGTTTTAGAGATCTCAGTTATAAACCTTGTGAAGAGTAACTTAAAAGATTACTTGTCCTCTCCTAAACCACATCAAAAGGACTAAAAAGAAAGCTGGAGAGATGGTCCTGTTGTAGAGGACCCAGAGTTGGTTCTCAGCTCCACCATCTCTCTGTAACTCTAGTTCCTGAGGCCCTGTTTAATCTCTGCAGGCACTGTACATGTGTGGGAGCCAGTCATGCCTGCAGGCAAAGCACCCATACACATAAATATAAACAAGTCTTTTTAAAATGGAGTAAATAAACATTAAACTTTTATTTTGCATAAATTACTAAAAATATTTATTCAACATGAATTCAATATGAAATTAATTTTTTTTCATTTTATTTGAAACAGATTCTCACTATATAGCCCTGGCTGTCCTGAAACTCACTACATAGACTAGCATTACTTTGAATTCATAAAGATCTGCCTGCCTCTGCCTCCTGAATACTGGGACTAAAGGTATGCATCACCACACCTAGCTACTTTATTTTTAATGTATTTATTTTTAAGTGTGTGTGTGATGTTTATGGATGGCCATGGAGTCTACAGGTATTGGATCCCTTAGAGCTGATGTTACAGGCAGCTTAGCCACCTGACATGAGTGCTCAGAATTGAACTTGGGTTGGGTCATCTGAAAGAGCAAGACAGTCTTGTGCTGGGCATGGTGGCCTAGTCCTTCAATTCTACAATGGGGGTGGGGAGCCAGGGGTGCAGAGGCAGGAGGATCTTTGTGAGTTTGAGGCCAGCCTGGTCTACAAAATGAGTTTCAGAACAGCCAGGGCTATTATACAGAAAAATCCTGTCTCAAAAACAGTAGAAGTAGAAGGAGGAGGAGGAGAAGAAGAGAAGAAAACAGATACTCTTATATATCACTGGCTGGCCTTGACCTTGAGGAGAATGACTTCCAAGGCCTGATCCTTGGAAGTACTTGCCTGTACTTCCAAAGTCCTGTAATTAATTATAGCTGTATATTATCATATTCTGCAAGTGGTATTGGGGATTAAACTCAGGCTTTTGTACATGTTCGGTAAACACTGTGCCTATTGAGCTATACTCCAAGCCCCCTTTTTTTAATTTATTTATTATTTATACAACATTCTGCCTGCACACCAGATCTTACTATAGATGGTTCTGAGCCACCATGTGGTTGACTGGGAATTGAACTCAGGACCTTCGGAAGAACAGCGAGTGTTCTTAACCTCTGAGCCATCTCTCCAGCCCCCATCCAAGCCCTTATAAAAATTTTTTTATTAAGCCACAAAGTTTAGTGTTTATTTGACCCTTATGGTACATCTTAATTTGCCCCAGAGAGTATTTTTAAAAATTATTTTCTGGTGTCTTGATACAGTGTCTCTCTACATAGCTCTGATTGTCCTGTAATTCACCATATAGACCAGGCTGGCCTCAAACTCACAGATATCCACCTACCTCTGCCTCTCACGTGCTAGGATCAAAATGTTTGCCACCACACTTGGCTCAATTTTAAATATTTGAAAGCCACGTGAGGCCAGTACAGTGTTAAGGGTCAAATTCTGTGTTTTCAACAATAATGGGATTGAACATATACTACCTGCTAGGGTCAGGCAGGGCATGGCGACACAGGCCTGTAAGCCTAGCACTTAGGAGGCCAAGGCAGGAGGAATGCAAGTTCAAGGCCAGCCTGAGCTATAAAGTAAAGCTGGGGAGGAAGGGCGGGGGATCCTTCAGGAACCACTAACTATACCTGAGTTGCCCTACAAGGAAT